GCGGCCGCCAGCCTGGTGAAAGGCGTCAGCTACAAGTACAAGGAGGAGCTGTCGGCGCATCTCATGGTGGCGGGATGGGACCGGAAGAAAGGGGGGCAGGTGAGGCTGGGGGGGTGTCTGTCTGCCCCCTACGGTATCCACCAGCCTGGCCCCCCACAGGGCCTGGCTGCAGTGTCTGTGCTGCGACCCCCTCCCCTCCGTTCCCCTCCCCTCGGCCCATCCCCGTCTCCCTGCAGTGTCCCATCCAAACCGATTAATGCTGCAGAACAAGCTATGCCTGGGGTGCAAAGGGCCCTGGCCCCCTCGGGGAGATAGAAAGGAGGTGAACATTAACCACCCCCAGCGGGGCTGAGCTCTGCATCTCACCCGCCAGCCGGGCAAGGAGACCTGCCCCGGGGTGTGTCCTGGTTGCTTCCCCGCAGGGCCCCACGGCTCCTCGGCCCGGCCAGGCTTGGTAAAAACACCCCGTTAACGTGTCCTCGTTCCCTCCCTTGGCCATCGCTGGGCAGGTCACCAGCCGCCGGGAGCCAGGCCAGCACCCCCGGGGGGGGGGGTGAACCCAGAACCTCCTGCCCCGTCGATGCTCATGTGGCCGCGGGCTGGGTAGGCTCCCAAGGCCTGGCTGTATGTCCGTGCCATGCAGGGCGGCGAGGAGAGACGCCCACCCTGAGACCCGGCAGGGGGCCGAGGGAACGGCCGGTCTTTACCGCAGTCAGTGCTTTGAATGTCAGCGTTAGTCACCCCCTGTCTGCGGTGCCACAGCCCCCCCCGCCCGCGCCGGGCCGGGGCTCTCACCTGGCATATGTTCGCTCCACAGGTGTACGGGACGCTGGGGGGGATGCTCACCCGCCACCCCTTCGCCATCGGCGGCTCCGGCAGCACCTACATTTACGGTTACGTGGATGCAGCCTATAAGCCCGGGATGACTCCAGAGGAGTGTTGCCAGTTCACCAAGAACGGTAACTGCTCCCGGGCGGGGTTAGGCAGGTCCAGGGCGCGGTGACCCCAATCCGGCCCCAGGGTAGGGGACTGGCTGGCTCAGGGGGGCAGGGAACGGGACACGGGGCCTTT